CTTTTTTTTTTTAACATTAACTGTATGACTCCTTGTGCTACTTTTTCCTCTTACACTCCAGTTCTCATTTACAGGGACTGCAATTGGCAGATACCAGGTCAAATTCAGGTACTTTCACTAGATGTATTCCTGATTAAAGAGCTGCATTAATTTGTGTCTTAAAGATTGAAGAGCTGCACTCAATAGACTTACACAGCGGGGCTTAGCCCAACCCCCCCACATCCTCCTCACTGTAATTGATTGACAGCAGCAGCAGTTAATGGTGCTTGTTTGAAGAGGAAAAGAGGGGAGAAAAGATGCAGCTGTGCATAGCGCTGGATCACTTCTCCCCTCTCTTCCCCCCCTGCAAAGAGAAGGGGGGAGGACATAAAGCAATAACATGTTTTTTTACCTTAATGCAGAGAATGCATTAAAATGGTAGTAAAGTCATTTTTTTTTTCACTTCTACCTACAGGTATGCCTATAAAATAAGGCTTACCTGTAGGTACTGTAAATATCCATTAAAATGTGTACCGTTTAGAAGATATTTACTTGTAAAGGAGCACCGGCAAATGCGCTCTAGCTTGTGCCGTTCCTTCAGAGCTGTGTGCCGTAAAAAAGTGACTCCTGCGCGCATGTGCGGGAGTGACATTATCGCGGTTCGGCCATTCAAGCCTTCGAAGCCCGCAAACCCAAAAGAAGGAACGGGTGATGATGGAAGCCGTCAGCGGTAACCGCACGCCACTGGAAGACTTCATTTTAAGGTAAGTTTCACATAATATGCTAGTATGCAATGCATACTAGCATATTATGCCTATGTCTTGCAGGGTTTTTTTTTTTTTAATAAAAGGTTGTGGTTTACTACTGCTTTAAAGGTAAAAAAAAAAAAAAACGTTTTGGCTTTAGAACCATTTTAAAAATCGCCACTTAGGATATGGCATGATACTGCAGAGCTGAAGATATTGATGGGACTCTCTCACTGCACTCTATGGTTCTGCCAAACCCTACATCACTACAGGACACGGTAGTAACATAGTGACCAAACTGGATTGAACCACTGTAAGCAATGGGGGGATAGGCATCCAACAGTCCCCCAATGTGTCAGATGTAGAAGATCTTCAGAGGACACAGAGCCAAGACAAGATTCTCATCCCACTGTCTTACATGGACAGAGTTACCCACATTCCCTGCTTGGCTACCAGGACAGGAACTGAAGGAGAATGTCCCCTGAACAGACACTATCAGCAATTAGAACCAGACAGCACATACAAACTTTCTCCACTTACAGAAAAAAAAGGTCTGGCATACTACTATAAATCACAGTATATAATTGCAGATAGTATAATAATCAACCCCAACTCTAGTCCTACGTGTGTCAGATCAAAGGATTCTACATTAGACCAGATGGTAATAATGGTTTCTATGTTCCGCTGTAAGAAATGACAAGTCAGGGTAAGCATAGGCTTCTTTCACTTATATAGAGAACATTGCACTGAGACAGTATGCAGACATACACAAACATGTAGGTGAAACACATACTTCAAGGAATGAATGGTATTAAGACACTTACTCTTCTAGACTTCGGTCACAAGAGGTTAGAGCATACACAAAAAAGGAAAAACATATTCATGAGTAACAGGTCAACTGGTTATCTCGTAGTTAGCAGTAACACTTATCAGAAAACAGACCATGTTATAATAGACAAAAACAACAGGGGTACAGTGGGGTCAGCCAAGCAGTATCTGACTACCTGTCATTTACATTAATATCTTGCTTTCACCATCAAATAAATAGCTGTCATTAAGAAAAAAAGTGCCATCCTGGCAGCCTTTAAAAATCACAACCTTTAAGTCATTTATAATATCATCTAAGCAGTTATATTACATGTCACTGTCCTAAAGAGTTAGTACTCCCTGTCTATTTATGTCCATTATGGCTAGATGCTAGTGAGAATAGCCAGCCACTGGCTTCTTCTATCTCAAAGGTTGTCCAATGGAAAGATATCATCCCTAGTTTTCCAAGCTTTCCCCCATACCACTCTTCCAGCTGAATCCACCAGAATGTCAAAAGAATGAAATCCAACAGAGATAGTGAGATTGCTAGTTACTGCTCTGTTCAATAACGCATTCTTATTCTTAAAATGACACAGTAAAAAAATTTAAAATGAGAGAACAGCAGCTCCTGCACAGCAAGCTAAGTCACCTGTTCTGCTACCTGTATTGTCAGCCTTTGCTTAGTTATATAAATGATTAACTCTACATTATCAGTTTGGCAGTGTCAGATGCCGGCATCCCTTGATGTATGGTTCTATCTGCGGGCCACTATGTCACTACCAGCTAAAGGAAGGAGCTAAATAAAGCCAGTAATGATATCTACAGGTGAAAAGATCGAAGACCTCAAATGTGAAAAGCTTGCCTGTGGCAAAAACTAAAACTGTCCATTTCAGGTGCAAAGATTCTTTAGACACCAATGTCCAGTAGTAGTAAAAAACACACACTTATTTTAGCTGGTCTTCACTGAATTCTTACAAGACATATGTGGATATCTGATTAATAATCAGGTTTTATTTAAAAATGTAATTTGCAAAAAAGGTTACAATAATAATAATTTAAAAAAAAAAACCTAGCCAAGAGATATCACATGGAAACAGACCAGCCAGGAAATGAAACATCGGCCCTCAAACAAATGAGAAAATTAAAGTTGGGCAAGAAATAAAACAGACAATAAAGTAAATTACATCTTATTCATACATTTTATTATTTTATTAAAAGGTTACCAAAAACCACAAACCTAGAAAAAAGGCCAGAGTTACTGGCATTCTTTATACAGCTAGGCTGTGTGAAGGAAACTACATGGCCTTTTCTTTACATTCTGTATTTTCCTTCTGGTAATAAACTGTTTCATCTGGCTCCATTTGGACTATACTGTAGCAGAAATGGAAGGGGAAGGAGAAAACGCAGGACAAACGTATAGACTCATCAATACAAGGAAACAAACTACTAAGTCTGTGTTTGAAGGTTCTAAATTGATACACTGTGTAGTCTCATGGAAATAGGTCTTCGGAGGTTTTTAACCATCCAGGTCATGGTATAACTAGCAGTACTCAGTCACATTCAGAAAGCCTCAATTTGTAATGTTGAAGATTTTTCACTATTTATCCAAATGGTTTCCTCAACTCAAATGAGTGTCGTAGTCTCTGTGCAAAGTCACACAAATACAATTTGATTCTGCCAGTTAAGTGCACCTAATGAAGCTTCCTATGATGGTGTTCCAACAATGCTGCACAGCTCCTGGATTCAGGGCATGGTTGTCACTCTTATGTAAGCTGTGTCTGCATGCACTATATTGCGATGAAAATTGTTGCAGAGTATGTGGCTATAAGCACTGACACTACTATTTGATCCTTTCTGTGGTCTGTTGCACCAGCCTGTAGCTTGCCTATTAGTGTCTGGTCAAATCTAATCCTGCTCACGGCTTTCAGGATTGGCAGCACTGCCTCTGTTGCTGGAATCTTTCTACTGTTAGCTGAAGTTGTCTGAGGGGGGGTGCATGTGAGGCCCAAATGCATAGTATCTAAAAGGTAATAAGGTTCAGTTGTTCCAATTAATCGCAAAGCCAGAGAAAGGGCCAAATTGAGCAATAAGAGTCATACATTTTTCAACAGAGGAAGATTTGTCCCTTAGGAAGAGCAAAGCATCAATCGCATTTAATGCCAATTTCTCTTTGCCATCCCCTCTCCGGAAGCCCACAATGTTAGGGTTTCCTCTAATGGCCTTTACCAAGGGGTCTATGGCTAGGGCAAAGGGTGGAGAAAGCCAACGAAGGTAAAGGGATGATCCAAATGAAAAACGATCAGGTTTCTTCGCACAACTAAAAGGGAAAGGGACATTCTTAAGAAGACAGTGAGGTGCACATTTGGGACAGAGAGGACTACTGGTTTGCAAGAGGCATTAAAAGGTCATCTATGTCATACTGGACAACACCAACAGTGATGGCATCAATGTGACTGAATGCCTCCTGTGACTATAAAAACTGGGTTTTTTACAGTCATTTAAAAGAGCTTTGAATGAGTGGTGAAACATCTTCGACAATAAAGTGGAATTAAAGCTTAAGGCTGCCAATAGAATAATTGTTCTCTCTTGTTCAGCCAGCGGGCCAAGTGGAAAAAAAAAAAAAAAGAAAGGATTGCCCCATTCACACAAGCAAGGTGTACAGAGGAATCCTCCCCACTGTGCCATTGTATTCTGACAGCGGAACTCTTCCACTATCAGAATACACTGATCAGTGGCTGCAGCACAATGGCTGCAGCCGCTGACAGACAAAACTTTTTTCTTTTTTTTTTAAACATTCCCATTCAACAGAAGTTGATTATTAGATCAACTTTTGCTGAGCAGGAATGGCCATGGATGGATCAAAATGTGTTCAGTCACTGCTCAACTGGCTGAACTTCAACCCATCTATGGCCAGCTTAACACTAACTATTCTTAAAAATGTCCTTTTCCCCCTTGTCATACCTATTCTGCCTACCTGGTGTAAAAATGTCTCTACAGTTACCTTTTTTTTTTAGTCCACTCTGGTCACATGATCCTGCAGTTCCGGCTCCCATGGGTCAGTGAGTGCAGGCTGCAGGGGGAGGAGGGAGCATTAATGTCAAACACTCCATGACATAGGGGAGCTGGATCTGCAGGATCATGTGACTGGACTGAAAAAATGGTAAACGTACAGACTTTTTTTATACAGTGTAGGCAGGATAGGTAGGAGGAGGGGAAGATTTTTATTAGGCAACAATTCCAATTGAAAAAGACAAGTGCAGTGCAGTGTGATTAACTACTATTCGTGTAATGATTGTTCTACATGAAAAGCACACAGCTTTCAGTAATACACCCGGTTTTAACTTTCCATGATAATCAGTAATATGGTTTTAAATTAATCCTAACAGCCAAGAAGGCTGTCTAAAAGGCAAGTACACTTTACGGCAGTGACAGCTACAACAAGCCCCCATCAAAGTCTCACAAGCTCACCTCCTTCTGCTCCACTTGCAGTGCAGTTTTTAGGATGTCTCTTAGTTGGCTCAGTTGTTTCCTTTCTTCATCCTGGACTTGTTTGATCTGAAAGAAAAGAAATGTAAATGAAGTGAAATCCACATGTAAATTATTGGGAAATATGAGAAATATTCTATTTTGTGCTTAGACAAAACAGAGAAATTCCAGGAGCAAGAGAGGATAACAAGAGCATAATTGCCTATTTGTGTACAAAAATAATGACCGCAGACTTAAATGATTATAAACCCTCATCATGAAAATCCGCATACTCAGTTTAAAATAGAAATGAAAAGCTAAATATTTGTGTATAGAAATAAAAAAAACATAAATACCTTTTTCTTTTTTTTTTATAAGTGATCACGTACCCTCAGTTCTCAGCTGTATAGAGAGCTGGGGGAGGAGAAACAGCAGTAAACTGATCTTCCAAGTGAATGGCTTTGCAGAATGGGGGGAGGGGGGTGTAAGGACAAGTCTGAGCACTGGAGGAGAGCAGACCGAGTTCTCAGCACATCTAGAGAACTGACAACACTGCACTCTCCCACCTAGCGTGGTCAGTTTTTAATAGGAAAGCAGGGGGGCCAACAGGAACACCAGGGATTTCATGCAAAGGAAACAATATAAAGAGAACAGATACCTTGTCATACAAGTACATGATACAGCAGGCACATATCAGAAATCTGAAATGCTGGGTTTTCACACTCTTTAAGAAGGCCATACATGGATTGAAATTCATTCGGTTCAGGAGGAACCAGCCAAATTTCGATTCATGTTTGGGATAGCTGGTTGTACACAAGTCAATTTATTGATCAATCTGTGTACAACTAGCCTGTCAGGTATTTCCTGAACAGTCACGTGCTGCTAGCTATAGCTGGCAACTCTGATAATTGCATTCTGCTGGTGGGGAAGGCTCTCAGCAGGAGTGATTCTCCCATCCACATAAAAAGTGTGGATAGGGGTCATGGATCGGTTCATGGTTTTTTTTTTTTAAATTCATTCAACCCGATGGTAATGAATCATGTATGACCTGCCTTAGTACATTCTCCCCACTGCCTACTCTTTGGTTTAGCAGTGATCATCATGTGTCTAGTGAGGGCTATCCTGAGCCCTCTGCACTCAAGTACCCTGCTCTTCCTCCCCAAAACAAACACCCTAATCTAGGACAGAACTTCATCTAGTGTCAAGCAACTTGGTATAAATACAGATTCTAGACCGGGGGCCTCCAAAGTTTCAAAACAGAGTTTACTGTCCTTCAAACTTTGGGGAGCCAGACTGAGGCCAGTGGGAGTAGAAAATGCCCTGGCATTGGTAGGAGTAAACAATGCCTTAGGTTTGGTGTTCAGTGGGAATAAAAAAATTACAACATTGGTTTCATTGGAAGAAATAGTGCCCCATCCATGGTGTCAGTGGGAGGAATATTTGCCTATCCCTGGTGTCAATTAAAGGAACGGTGTTCCATCAATGGTGTTAGTGGGAGGAATAGTGTCTCATATCAGTGGAAGGAATAATGCCCTAGGGGCTGGATAAAGGCAAGCAAATGGCCACATCCAGCCCGTGGGTCACAGTGTGGAGATCCCTGACTTAGACCAGTAGTTCTCAACATTTGCGAGACCAGGACCCAGTACATTCTTCCAAAACTTTCCAAGCCCCAACAGTAAAATAAAAAAAAAAAATGTGGGTGTTCTCATACAAGTATGAAAATGCCAAATATGGATTTAAAATGTATTCAAAGGGAAGTAATGAGTTGAAAATATGAGTTACTGTACTTTTAAATTGGCACAATGACAGAATTATTAACATCTATCTAAAGCTTTATTTTTGGCGACCACCATACACCTATTGTTGAACTAAAACTTATGCATAAACATAATACAAAAGTGCCTTGAGACATAAGGCAGAAAGGGGAAACATTCTACTATTGCTTCTATTGGGAGGTAGAAAGACAGATTGGCAATTCTGGCTGCAGCCCAGTTATTTCTTATGGGTAGCCATACTCATGGCGGCCTCCAGCTGTCCCATAGAGTAGCTTACCCATAGCAATGAATGGTCAGGCACATGAATGCACAAGTATGAGGAGCAGCCAGAAAACTTGCCAAAAAAGAAAAAAGATCTGAGGAGGGTGAGGAAGGAGAGCATTATCCCAGCTGCACTAAGGGAGGTGGGGAGATTTATGAAAGGACAACTAATGTATACACTAAAGTTGTGATTATTATGTCTAAGCCATGGATGCTATGCTGCTTCTCTGGCAGACTGAGTATAATAAAATATTAACATCATGATAAAGCTCTGGATTTTATATATGAAATTCAAATTATTATACATAAAGTTCTGATTGCTATATTTTTAGACACCTATTAATATTTATTAGCAAAACTACACATTTGCAATTGTGCCTTATAGCAGACTATGGAAAAATGATTAAAGTCACAATAAAGTTCTGATTATCAGGACTCGTTCACAAGTGAGGTTGAAGGTAGTAAACCCCATGGTTGAGCCACACTTTTACTGCCCCCCCCCCCCCCCGATACCCCCTTTAGCTCCAGGGATAGCATCCAGGCATTTACAAATAGTGCCCAATGAATGCGATCCATTCAATGCACACGGTTGCAGCATTAAAGTGCAGTGATCAAGGCGTTAAAGCAAGCGGAGAGGAAGAGATACAGTGGGGGAGATTTATTAAAATTGGAGAGTGCAGAATCTGGAGCAGCTGTGCATGGGAGCCCATCAGCTTCCAGGTTTTACGCTCGGTTCACACTAACTTTATCAGCAGGCATCAGGGAAGAGTTTCTCAAACGTCTATGAAAAGCCTGCACATGGCAGCACACAGTGCTGTACACACTGAAGCAGGCATTTGTGGTGCGGGTTGTGAGGTGATTGCGGAGCATTAATACCATTTAACTTCATTATAGGCATTTGTGGTGCGGTTTTAACTCTTGGTAAACGCCTATCAACCGCCTCAAAACCGCGCATAGGGCGTTTAGGGAACGTTTGAGGAGCGTTAAAACCGCTTCCCAAACGCCTGTCTAACGCCTGTCAAACGCTATAGGGGCGTTTGGCAAGAGTTAGAAAAAAAGTCAAGTATGAACGAGCCCTTATTGTCAAAGCTTAATTGAACAAGCTGAAGGGAGCAGCTGATTGGCTACCATGCACAGCTGCACCAGATTCTGGATGCTTCACTTTTAGTAAATCCCTCCCAGTGTCTCCTTCCTGTCAGTTAAATGCTCTTTGAAGAGCGTTCCAAACAGGGATCTTTCTTCAGAGAACACTACTAGTGTAAATGAGCCCTTATGACGTTTTAAATTTTATATAAAAAGCTGTGTTTATTTTAAATATATTTATATAATAATTTTATAATTATGTTAAGCTGCATTCTAACTATAGCAGTTCAGGAATGCGCACAAAATTGTTATATGTATATGTGCATTTTTGTGCTACACACATAGGACAGCCCATTCCTTTCAACGGGGTGCCATACATGTGACAAACGCAGCAAAGACTTTTTTGAGTTTCGCACATTTATAACTGCGCACTTTGCCACACTTGTATGAAAAATGTGCATCTGTTTAGTGTGCCATCAACAATTAATGGGATTGCGTGACATGCATTTTCTTAATACATTTCTTAAAGTAGTGTAGTGTAAATGCAGCCTTCTCCTATTAGCATTTATTAGTATAATGACAAGGCTACCATTATTATATAGGATTTATATAGCGCCAACAGTTTGCGCAGCGCTTTACAATATAAGGGAGACAGTACAATTACAACACAACACATTTCAGTACAGAAGGAATAGGAGGGCCCTGCTCGTGGAGCTTACAATCTAAAAGGAAGGGGGAGGTGATACAAAAGGTGATAGCTGCGGGGGATGATCTGGTGGAGGTGATTCAAGTACAGTTATTAGATGGAGGTTGGGTAGGCTTTCCTGAAGAAGAGAGTTTTCAAAGATCGCCTAAAGGCAGACAGGGTGGGGGCTGATGAGTTAGCTAGAGAGGAGGATATCATGGGAGGAGCGGAGTGAGCGATTGGGGTGATATCTGCGGATGAGGTTGGTGATGTAGCTAGGGGCAGTGTTGTGGATGGCTTGTAAGCTGTGGTTAGTATTTTGAATTTTATACGTTAGGTTAGTGGAATCCAGTGGAGCGATTGGCAGAGAGGGGCAGCAGACGCTGATCAGTTGGTAAGGTGTATGAGTCTAGCAGCAGCATTCATAATAGACTGAAGGGGGGATAGCCTGTGTAACGGTAGTCCAGTGAGGAGGGAGTTGCAGTAATCGAGGCGGGATATAACCAAGACGTAGATGTAGCTTTATATACAGATGGTGGGTGCAATAAGAGTCAAAATCTTTTAGCCATTTGTAGATTATTAAAGTATAACTAAAGGCACAACATATTTTTTAGTTTTGGATAGAGTGGAGAGGGATTAGAACATTTGTCAGTTTTTTTTTTAAATATGGTCTGTGTCTTTGTTAGGGAGAGTCACCCTCTCTATTTGTCCTGTTTACCAATATCATTGAAAGTGAAAGTAAATGAAAACTCCGAATTTTGAGTTGTCCCCAGAAAAGTAATAGAGGGGAAATTTCCCAATGGGGACACTAGTTCTGGTGACCTGAGGGTCCCCAAGAAATTAACTTAGTTTGCAGGGATTTCCTCTCACTTCCTATTTGGCTTTGAGATAGGAAGTGAAGGGAAATCTCCGCAATGGGACACAGATGATGAAAAAAAATAATCTACCAGGAGTTATAACCCTCCCTTGCTCTGTCCAAAATGAAAAAAAGTTTTGCCTATAGTTCTACTTTAATATGTATGAAATGATAATTCACTTTTTTTGGGTTCCTTTAGAGACTTGTGGTTGGGTGGCAATAAAATGTGCAGATCAGCTGCATTATTGGGTTCCCCAAACACCACCCCCCCATCGCAAACGTGCGCAACACACAGTGTAGGACACAGACTCTATTTTGTTAAAAGTATCCATTTTCTCCCCTCACTCCCTCCCCCTCCCTCTCTGAGAGGAGACATTTGGCCAACATGTGTGTGTGTGTGCTGGTTGTGGGTCACTGGCAGGCCAATGCA